ATTTAGTTCGTTTCTTCAATAAGTTTCCTTTTTACTTTAGAATTTTTGGATTTAATTAAAGATGTCTGTTATTCTAAAAGACAAAATGCATTTAGAATGTATGGAAAAAGCTGCTTGTTTTATTCCTTGAGTAATACGAGCATTCAGAAGAAATATGAAATACATATGGTAAGGTCTGGTCACAGAGTTGGTGTGACATAATTTTTAGAATTTAGTGACACACCGAGCTACAAAATATAGAAATGGCAAAACGTTTAGAATTTAGAGCAGACATTGGAAGCAGAATTTAGAAAGGCACCAGGCAGCAGAATTTAGGATCTACAGAGACTGCAGCAGGTGGCAAAATGCCTAGCGCCAGCCCTGTGTTGCCCTGTTTTTTTAAAAATGTCAGTTTTCAATATCTTTATTAATAAAAAAAATTTATTTCTATAATACCTGCCCATATGATAAGATTAGAGGCATTTTTGATATTTTTCATGCTTGTGTCTAGTGAAAAGTAAAGAAAGAGAAAACTGATGCATATTCTGAGAATTCTGAGAAATGGGGGAAAACTCTTACCATGAAAAAATTAAAAAGATGTTTCTAATTAATTACATAGCTATTTTGCTTTTGCTAAAAACTGTTTCGTAAATTGTGCTTTATAGCATTATACCTTGCTTATTTTTCAGATTCAAAACATTGTATAATATGTTGCCAAAACGGAACCTTATAATATGACAGTGAAAAATAAAAATGCTTTATTTTAATGTTATTTCTTAAATATAATTCCAATACATTACCATTATTTTAATGAAATTTATCAGTGTTAGAATGTTCTAAAAAAGTCGCCGAAAATTTCCCAGATTTCGGAATTAAAAATTTTCCATAGAAACCGATCTTAAAATCACCAAAATGTTGATAAGTCGCCAAATTTAGAACCATTTAATAAAAAAATTCACATCCCCCAACGCGGAAAGTTGTTTGAGAGCTCTTCATTACAAAAAAATGAAATAATTTCGAAATGCTTATGTTTCACTTCTTGCTCACAAACTTGAGTATCCCACCAGTTATATTACAAATAGGAACAAATTATAACCCATGAACCCATTCAAAAAATAACTATATTTGTCAGTGAATTGCCAAAAACATTGCTGCAAAATGCTAATTCACACTCAAAATGGCAGTCGTAAAAACAGACAGAAATTTCAGATTATTAAAATTAAGGACCTTCTGCCGATTTTGGCCGAAATTAAGGACTTTTAAGGACCAAAAAATCGATTCCAAAAAACTTAAGGACATTTAAGGACTCTTAAGGACTGCACGGACCCTGTTTTTTTTTAATTTAAATTTTAAAAAAATTCCTACTTAGTAACGGGCTTGAAGTAATTTGAAGGCTAAAGGAATGTGCTTCTATTTTACATATAAGTTAATTACCTTGAAGTTCACAAATAATTATGCCTTAACTAATTCTATAATTTTTTTAAAAAACAGTAAGCCAAAACAGATCTGCAAACAACCTTGATGTATTTAAACTTAAAACTGCTTTCATACATATGCTAAATAAATAAAACCCTTTTCTTGTACTGAAATGAAAGCATCTTGCGTAGTAGTCTTTTTAATGCAGTGTCCACTTTGTGCTGTAAAATTTCCTGCATTTAACTTTCTAAAGCTGGCGGTACAGCAGTTGTACCATGAAAATGACTTTCTTTACCACCAGCTGTGGTACAACTGTCATACCAGCCATCCCCTCCCTATTTTAGAGAATCGCCTATCTGTAGATCTCTGGGTGGTCCATTGTCACTGCTCAGAATAGCCGCCGGATTGTTAACCCTCTTCTTATCAGTTTGGCTACATTTTTGCAAAAACCGCAGGTTTCGTCTTGTGCCAATATACTTGAAAATCAAATAGGAGCCATCTCTTTCTCAAACTTTAGACCACTGTCTCATAATTTTAGTGCTAACTTTTTTAGTACTAACTTTTGTTATGATTAAAAAGTCAGTGATTTTGCACATTGTTTTAGCTTACCAGATTTAATGCTTTTTAATCATAGCAAATAAGATTAAATTAATATTTTAGATTTAATTCCCTTCTAGAAAATAGGTAAAATCGCTTTTATTGTTTAGTTCCTTTTTACACTTATGAATAATAAGATGTTATTTTGACCCTTTTTTTGGAGTGCATAAAACCCTTAAGAACTGTTAACTCTTTCAAAGTGCTTCTATTATGTAGGCAATTTTGTCTGATTTATCAGAAGATAAATAAGAGACAATTGCATGCATAATAGTTTTTGTGATTTTCATTCGTTCAATGATTGATTTCAATGATTTCATTCAATGATTGCTTTCAATGATTTTCATTCATTGTAAATTAAATAAAACATATTTATCTTTAGACCCTCTTTTAGAATAACATCTGCCAAAAAGTATTTAAATATCATTAAAGCTCATGTAACTTCTAAATTGAACCAAAACATCAGTTACTTTGCATAAAATTTCGGCCAGTTTTATTTGCTGAAATTCTTATACTCCTCAAGAGATAAGGGGAATTCAGACAAGTTAATAAAAAATTTATCCTTAAAAAAGGAATGTTATTTTGTCTGCAATAAGGTGTATGTCAACTTATTATTAAATGTATGAGAATTAGGATTGGATTACAGAAAAGCACACGAACGCTATCTGCTTAAGGGGATGGATGCTTTCGTGTAAATCTTTCTAAGAGAAATTGCTTACATTTACGTTCCAGATGGAAAACTCCACATGTAATCAAGTAGTACTCTGAATTTAATTGGATTAATTTTGTTCGCTTACTGAATTACATCAAAGCACACAACAATTATCTGTACAAAGGGAGGGATGCATTCGCGAAGGACTTCTTAAGGGAAGCTGGCTTGAACTGACGTTACACAAAAACCCTGAATCCAACCCTTTAGCCGGAATTCAAACCCGAGCAAGCTACAAGTATTCAGCCACCTTTACCGCTCTACTGAACGGCTCGTAAAAAAATTGATAAAGAAAAAGTATTGAAATAACCACTTTAATTTACTAACTGATATTTCTCAATCAAGAGTATATAAATTAGGCATATGAGGGGATTATTTGTGAATAAATAAACTGTATTGCACTTTTCTCCACTATTTCATATTACGATGGAATTATTGCATTTCAAAGTTATTTCTCATGAATTAATTTTGCTCCGTTCATGATTTTTTATTTTTTCAAAGAGAAAATTTCACACTTTAAATAAAAAATACACTAGAAGATACTTTATGCAAAATTTGGTGTAAACAGTTTTCTTAATTTTGCTCTGAAAATATTCCAGGGTAATCGTTTTTATTACTGGAAGAAATATGAAAAACGATTTACTACATTGTAAGTGTCAACACCCAGTATGCCCTTATTTCTTTGAAAACGTGAAAGATTACTCTTTCTAAAATAAATTAGAAAATATGTGCAAATAGAATATTCGATAAAAATGAAACAGACTTCAACGTTTGGATATAATGATGGTTTTAGACGAAATTCTTGCCTATGAAAGAAAACTGACGTATCTTCATAAACAATTAAACTGTTCTGAAAAATACTTCTGATGACTGCATGTATAGGTCACAGATTGTTTTCTCTGCTAACATAAACAAAAGCCAATTTTACAAATAAAAATTCTTGTTAAAAATATACCTCCTATGCCTGATAGTCCAATGTAATATTTGTTAAATGATGAAACACAACCAATGTATCTCTGATTTTCTTTTTTATATTATAACAAAATTATCGAAAAAAGCAGATTTAAAGCTTTGTTATTGTTAAATAAAGCTTTAAGTTCATCTCAAAACCTAATTGTATTGAATGTCATTCTAATCATCTAATAGTAATAAATATTTTTATTGAATTTATTATTATTATTTCATTAAATTAGTCATTACCATTATTTTGTTAATGAAAATATGTTATTAAAAATCACATTCCAACCTGCAGACTTACGAAGCTAGTTCGTATTTATTCTATTTTGTAAAATTTTGTTCTCGTTTTCTAATACGAAAACATGCGAATATAAATGAAGTGTGAAAACAAAGTTATAAAATTCCCAAATTATTGCCTAGATTGATCAGAAATAGTAAATAAAATATAAACATAGCATACATTTTGTTCTAAATAAATAGTGCACTGGATGCACTATTATTTAGAACTTCATTTAAATGAAAGCAAAATAATCATCGAAAAAAATCGCAAATCTAGCAACCCATCTACTATGGAACAGCATCCGACAAACATGTAAATTTTACTGCATCCATGGAGGGGACTAAAGACTTTTCTCATTAGGAAAATGTCAAAGAGGGGGCAAATGTGTTTTGGATTGCACCGGATTGAAGGCTATATTATGAGAATTTCAGCCAGGTTTTAGAAGGTTAATTCCAAGATTTCATAAATTAGATATGAATTTTATTGATCCCACTTCAAAAGGTTATGAATATGTTTTATAGGATAAAAAATATACTCAATCATAAAATAATCATGCTTTCCAGATAAATGTTATTAAAATTCATTTGAAACCATGGAGCCTGTTTGGGTGCTTTGATAAAGTTGGTCACTTTTACTTTACACCAAAACGAAAATTAAGCAACATAATGATCACTTCAATACATACTGACAAATAAAAAGTACCTTTACAGTACACTTAACGCACAGTGTTCATTTCAATAGCTGCTTTCCTCATATAAACACATATGCACTTTGGAGAAGATCCCTATCTCACAAGGGTGGGGCGCGAACTATCGAAATACATTTAGAAAGCTTTATGGATCAAATGTAAAATATTTCGAAAAGTTCAAAATCAGATTTTGTTATAGACTAACTAATATGTGGTAGATAAATAACATCATTATAACGTAATATATATTATAAGTTACGTAACATTACAGGATTCTCGATTAATTTTGTTCCATAACTTTTGTTACAACACTCCAATTTATATCACGATTTCATTATTTAACCACTAGCATACTGCTCACATGGCATAAAACTTACTTCCATGCTTCTGTTCATTAATTTTTTCCATGCTTCTCAAGAGCTTACGACTTTCCTCACTATCATGTTTACTTCCACATATCACCATGACGACGGTTAACCATAACACGCCAACGAACTCTCAGCAGTCAAGCGCGTAATGCTGAGTCACATATAAACAAGGGGGTATAAATAAATTGCGAAACTTCTACAAATTATGGATACAACACAATCACATATCTGACTAGTTGGTAAGCAGTACTGTTCGTGATCATCTTGAAACGTGACAAATGAAATCGACAGCACTATTCAAGGAAACGATGATTTACTGTCTTCAGATAGCAGAATGCGTAGGGTTATCATAAAAGAAATCTGCCACTTTCGTCATTCAATAGCGCCAAGATTCTAGCAGAACACTTTAAAATTCTCGCCAAACAAGTATACAAGATGGCCAACCACTTATCAGTCATACGGACCTAAGAGGAGAAAAAATACTAAAACAAGGTCTCATCATTTCATTTGAACATGGCTGTAAACAATGGTACGTAACCATATTAAAAACGATTTTTTCTTTAAATCATCACATTGAATAGTTAGAATAACTACTTTCATTCATATAATTTCAATATTTTTTAAAAGCGCAGAATAACTGAAATTTCAGTTTGAAGAAGAGAAAGATAATGACAGTACTTTTCGGAAAAATAAAACTTTTTCCGCTCTGTCGGAGCTCGTTTAGTTTATCTGATTATAGCAAAGCACTCGAGGGCTATCTGCCTAAGGGAAGGAATGCCTTCGGAGGGCTTTCTAAGGGAAACTGGCTCGTATACATGTTACAACATGGGAAAAACCACGAAAACGGCCATGTATCAATGGCGTACCATGGAGGTAAGAAGTAACTTTCTTACCTCCATGGCGTACGGAGGGGGAAAGGGGGGCAAGGGGTGTATGATGCCCCGGGCGCCGCTTGCAGAGGGACGCCAAATGGTCTCCAAACAAGATTATCCTGAAATTTTCAGTTTTTATTTTGTTCGATTTCTGGAAAATATATTTAAAATTGATAATTATTGTAATATAATTATTTACTTTCTTGATTTGTCTGAAAAAAATGTGTAATAAAATGTTAGCAGTACATCAACCAAATATCTCCCCATACAAAACGTTCTTTCTGACCACTTTATTTTTCTAAAATAGAGAGATATTTTAATTTTTTTTAAACGAAATGCATATATAGCTTCCGCTTTTTATTTTAAAACGATAACACGACCTTGTCCCGAATTTCTCAAACATATCCAGTTTCCAAAAACGATTCTATAGTCCGGAAATGACATTTTGGGAAACTCCTAACACTTTCGCTACAACGGATTGCGTTTGACTTTCCTGTAAACGACTGATGGCTTTCCTGGCTGCCGATTTAACTAAGTCATCTTGCTGAGACATCGCATAATTCACTACTACAAAGCATTCAACGCGTGGTCAATTGTTTCAAATGTGGAATATGAAAAAATTTGAAATGATCGAATCATGAAGTCATTGATAAATTTGCTTCAACCAAGGCAAGAAAAATGTATACATAGTAATTAATTGTATTAATGTATTATAATATTATTATTAATAAATATACCTACTTATCTATAATCTAATATTAAACTTTTAATTGGTTAAAAATTATACCTTTTTTTTAAACTACTATATAAATATGTAAAATAAATAATACCTTTTTAACTAATTATAGATCATAAGTATATCTGATTTTTCTCACCGACACAGATATATTTCCGAATCCAATGCTAGTGTAGTTAGGTAATGACTATTCTTAATGTATTTTAGAGTATTTTATGGTACATTCAGCATTTTACTATTATTTGCATTACTTTCTTATTATAAATATATTTTATACATTATATTACTGTGTATTATTTTGGGGGGCGCCAAAAAATATTTTGCCCGGGCGCCAGTTATGCTCGCTACGCCACTGCCATGTAGTTCACCGAAATTCGAACCCCAAACCGAATTACTAGTGTTCAGCGACTTCAACGCTTAGTTAGTGGTGTGTATAGAGCTCGTTCAAAATTTAAAAGAATTATGTGCGTGTGCATGTGTGCATACATATCATATAACGTAAATGTTTCTGAAAATGTTTCATACACAATTAAAGCTCTGGCAAAAATCTGGATAGCATGTGTATTAAAGCCAAATCCGTTTTTAATAGCTCTTTTATTTTCTTTTTATACAATTTACACTAAAAAAGTAAAAATAAATACGAATTTAAAACTGAAACAATGGATTATGGGATTGTTTAAATTATGTCAAAGCACGCGAGGTTTATCTTCCTATAGCCAGGGATGCCTTCATTAAGGACTTTCTACGTGAAACTCACACGCATTCACGCACGTGGGGAAAACGCAGCCCGTGTCACAGGCATTTAATCCCGGATTGAGATTCTACAAGTGTTCAGCAGTTTTAGCATTAGGTGGTTAGTGGGTCTTCTTGAGGTGAGTCTTCATGTCATTCAAAAGTAAAGATTTAACTTTATGATTGGCAACACAAGATATTATTTGATTTATGAAACGAAACAATTGTTAATTTTTTACGCTTTTAATTTCTTCTTTTTAATTTCAAATCATTTTTTAAGCATTATATTGCAATCTGAAACTTTCAGACCACATTTTTAAAAAAATTTATTATAATCTTTGACATTTTTTTACCGTTCTTTATGCTTATTGATATTTTGTTGGGGAAGTATCTAACTTTTATAAACGCTGAGTCGGTTTGGCATTCATAATTTTTACGTTATTGTTGGAGATATTTTCATTTCATATTGTAGTAGAATAGTTTTTAATCGATATCTAGAGTTATTTCGCATTTTTCATTCTTGTCTACATATGGGACCTTCCTGCTCATTTGGATTCAAACAGCTGACTGCAGCTTTGGAGTTGGTCAAGCACATTACAGAGGGCGAGTATGGTTAGACTGCCCAACATCATGGCTGCTCATTACTTATTTGCCCGGCAGATTACATGTTTTTATATGTTTTTTCAATATCGTTATTAACTGGCCTACTTTGTAATTTTATTAAAAGAACTATAGTGTTACTGAAAACATATGTATAAAAAACCAGTACACAGTGAAAAGACAGGTTAAAAAATGAAATCAATAAAACAGACGGAAAATTAAAGATTTATGAATAGATAAATCAAATGTAACAGTTTTATTGAGACCTTTCACTAAAAATGAAATCAATAAAATGTAAAATTAAAACTGGATGCTGCCAATCTACGATTTTATCACTTTTCATTAGTTTGGTTTATTTGATTGTTGCAAAACACTCGAGGACTAACTACCTAAGGTAAACTGTGCCTTCGTGGAGAACTTTCTAAGAGAAACTGTCTAGTATACACGTTACACATGAGAAAAACCACAAAATCGACACAGCAGCCAGTCCGTTCGCCGGGATTCAAACCTCGGAACGAGCTACCAGTATTCGACGACCGCTGGTGGGCCCATATCACTTTCCAATTTTGTTCTTTCCACAGGAAACAATTCACACAACAAATAATTTATTTCTTTTGTTACCATCAGTGGTATCATTTCATTAAAAATAGCTATTTAATCACGATCGTGAGCGATCTTGGTGATGGGTGATGGTGCTAGATCAAATGAGTTTCAAGAAAATAAATTGATCCACACAAACAGGGCTGAAAAGAGTGTTTTAAAAGTCGGGTCATGCGAATTAAAAAAATGGCACCTTTAAAAAATTATTACATTTTACATTCTTTGCATGTTTACATGAAATTTTAGAGTACAGTAAATCAAAATTACATGAAATTTTAGAGTAAATCAAATAAATTTAATCAAACAGTAACATTACATTTTGGAAACAAATCTGTTTACATTTTTAGGGCCTTTTTTAAAACATCTGATTTGTTGTGTGTGTAATCATCACTTGCTAGCCGTGCAAATATTTACAAGCTTCTTTGGGATATTTAAGTTGTAGAGACATTAGGTATTTTTTTGGAAGCAGGAAAGACGAAAAATGAGCAATGCCCTCACCGGGAATCGAACCACGGACCTCTGGAATACGCGCCCAGCGTGCAGACCACTACACTACGAAGGAATGCTAAGAGAAGGCGAGAGAAATATCTTATATACTCCCCCTTTTAAAGGGTGACTGGGGTTTAGGGGACCCAATTGCCAAATCCTGGGTGTGGAGAATCATCATCCCCCACCCTTTTTAGCTCGGTCGCCACTGTGAGACATTAAGTATCTTTTGGAAGCAGGAAAGATGAAAAATGAGCAACGCTCTTGCCGGGAACCGAACCACGGAGTTCTGGAATACGCGCCCAGCGTGCAAACCACTATACTACCAAGGCATCCTAAGAAGGCGGGAGAAATACCTTATAAAGTTAACTAGGATTTTGAGTTTTTAATTTACCCTAGCTGTAAATAACTCTTTCTGTCGCAGACCTTCAATACCATAAAAGGTTAAATAATGCACATGTGTTACATTTTTCGCGAGTTGCGTTTTACTCACATCAAACGCGCAGCCGGCAAAACTGAAATAGTATTCAGTAACCTTCAGAACCAACACAAATTTATATCTTTATAATTATTAAGATCTTACAAAATATTTCCGAAATCCTAACAAACTTTTTATTTCTGGCAAGAACACAACCTTACTATGAATTATTTCTTTTTGTTTTTGAGACGAGGTCAAAACCTTGAGTTAAGCACACACAGTATCCATAAGATATACAACATGCTGATTCTAAATTTACTGACAAGTTTTGTGGCGATTCATCATTATATCTAAACTGACAGTGTGCTTGCTATACCTTCGTCAAATTTCAATTGTAAATTTGAATTTTGATTCTCAATGTATTACTTTTCTTATCACTATCCTCGCCCCCTCCATTTCAAGCACGTTCTTTGGAATGAATATCTGTTCTCTATTTTTTTTAACCTTTTTAATACAATATAAAACAGGAAAACAAGCATAACACTTAAACTTTATCTTCGAACTGTTTGTTGACGATCGTTATCATAGCAAAAACACAGCGTAAAATTTTCTTATAAAATATAAATTTGAAATATTCAATGTAATTTTTTTCTTCGCGCTTTTAAAGTAGAACTGTCATAATTCAAGGCAGTGCGTCATAAATTTCTCCTAAATGATATCGTAAGGATCGAAATGCTTTAATTTGACTTCCTCATGCAGCGTACAATGACTACTTCCGTATTAAACTGGATAGAGATTTCAAAGGCGTACTCCAAGTCTTGGTGATGAAAAGAATAATAGGGTCTTCTTTGACTTTTGATGTAACATTTATTGTTAAATTTAGAGCAAGAAAAGCACACAGAGTTAAAATGCCCTA